ATGAAATATTAAATTCCTCCAATAAATTTTTTTTCTTCTCATTTTATGATTACAGTGGCTGAAAAATCATAAATGTGTTAAAAGTTTAATGATTAAAAAGAATTGGTCGATAGCAAAATGTTTACTGGCGCTAGTAATATTGTCAGCTTCATTGTGCAGGTTGTGCAGATGACAGAAAAAGAAGGTTTTATGTTAAGGATAATAGTGGTTTGACGTGTTTTCTTCTTCTTTGCTGTTGAGCCGTCAACAGTTTTTTTTTTTAGTAGACCAGCTCTGATAACAGTGCAAAGTCTAGGCGGAGTTAAGATCAGCTTACTGTCGAGACATTTGTTTAGTAACTGTTCGGCTTTTTTTTTTTTTTTCACTCTTTATGAGCAGTTAAGTCTTTTTTCTTGTTTTGGTTTTTCCAAGCGTTTATTTTTAGCATATGTTGAAAAGGAGGGCGTTGTTTGTTGACAGTTTTACTTTAATGAGGTTAACCGGCTGATGAATACTTGACCGTATTTACTTGTGACTCTTAGTGTGGATAAGGATATGGCATAATCAGTTAGAAACTTCTTGGGGATGCATTTCACTTGTTTGTTTGGTCTTCAACTATTCAACTGTATCGTTGTTGTTGCTGGTGTTGTTGTTGAGTGCGAGAGAGAGAGGAGAGAGATATAAAGAGACGGAAGAAGTCATTGTTAAAAAGAGGTTAAAGAGGTTACGATAAATAACTAAACTAATAATAATGTGTTGGAAACAAAAAAAAAAAAGCGATTTTTTTCTTCAGATATATTTGTTCTGTAGTAAAAAAAATAGTTTACGGCACCTTCGGCAGAAGAGGGTAGAGAAGAAATGACAGCAAGTGTGTGTGATTCCAATTATGCTACTGTTTTTTCATAATCAGTTGGTCTATTAGATCATTACAGCGATAGATCATTGATAGGGCAAAATTAGTCATCTAAAATACGTAGTGATTCTGGAAAAAAGATGAGGAGAAGAGGATTTTTTAAGTACAAGAAAGTGAACAGAAAAATTCAGTTGTTTCTCCTTTTATTGTTTATTTAAAAATACCAGATATAAAGTTGGCTCGAAGATATATGATAACTGGAAATTTTTATGAGACTTTTCTGTGAATAGGATAAAAAAAAGTAAGCAAAACCTAGAAAATTAGAGGACAGTAGTTTTTTTCTTCTATTTTCAGGGCATCTTTGTTGGTTTCACTTTTTGTTTCTTTTTCGTTTGTTTGAAATTGTTGCTTCGAAAATTGCCGTCATGAGGTGTAATTTGTGTGTATGTGTAGAGTCATGTTGGTCATCAATTATTCTTTTTTTTT